CACTTATCCATGCCAATCGCCTCAAGCCCCACAATGTTCGCACTCCCAACGACCGTCTTCCAGATCACACTCCCAACCATGGTCATCATTCTCCCTGTCCCAGCGCTTCTGCTGGAACGGACACACATGTTCCTCGTCCAAGCACTTCTGCTGAAACGGACACACATGTTCCTCGTCCCAGCACTTCTACTGAAACGGACACACATGCTCCTCGTCACAGCACTTCTGCTGAAGCCCATTCCCCTCTTCCCAGCACGTCTGCTGATGCTGACACATCCTCAGACACACAGGTGGTTCTTCCAGAGCCACACATCAGTGATACAGGCTCTGCACCAACCATTGCCCGCCAACAGGATGACAAATCTCAAGATAATCAAACGTATCCTGTTGACAAAATTATCAGATGTAAAATGGCAAACGGTACCAAACAGTACCAAATCAAGTGGTTAGGCTACTCAGAAACGACCTGGGAGCCCGCCTCCAATCTTGATCCATCCCTGATCAAGCACTTCCATAGGTCTAGAACAATGTCTGGTAAGAAGCGCAAACACGGAGTACATAAGTACTTCCAATGATTCATTTGCATAGGTGTTATCAAGCTACCCCCTATCTTTTGTGACGTGAATTGCATGGCCATAAGATATGAGTGACCATCCCTTTGCAGTTACCAAGTGTTCTGTGTCCCATAGTGCTAGGTTGTTTAGGTGTTTGTGGCCACAACATTCTTCTCAACCAGGTCAACTCTTCTAATGGCTCCCTTTTCATTTCATCAAAGGTTCATCCTGGAGCTTGATTATCCTGTGGCTTATGGCTCTGTTTGCCCGCCCTACCCTCGGCACCAGCCCTGTTCAGAGACTCAACTATGGAATAGTTTTTAAGCCAACCATTTTGCAACTGAATAGTGGGTCCATACCTACGAGGTCAAGCTTCCCCATGTCCCAAGCATTCCCACCATGAGTGGATGCCACCAAGGCAATGGAACTTGTGCTATACTGCACCAAATCCAAATGCACCTTAACGTAATCAAAACCAGGTGTGTTTCACTGCTAAATGAAACTAGGCACCAAATCATTAAACTCATCCCTGAATCTAAGGTCCCCTCATCAAGTCGCTCCAAACGAGCAGTTCTAAGTTTTGTAGGGTCCCTTTCCAAAACATTGTTTGGTACAGCCACCACTGACGACGTCAACCTGCTTGCCAAACATATTAATGCCCTTACCAAACATAACATAAACCTATCCAATGTCCTCAAACAACATTCTTCCCATCTCTCGTCATTTATGAAATTGGTAAACAATAGATTTAAGAATGCGCTAAAAGGTGTTAAGGCCAATCATGATGCCCTTACGTTCACAGCCACTGCGATCCAAAATAATGCTAGAAATATTCAAGCTACTTTTGCTTCCCTTACTTCAATTTTGATAGACCAAATTCAAAATAAAATACTGTGGAGCATCAACTTGAAGAACATAAATTAGGCATTTTAGACTTGGCTAAAAATAAATTATCCCCTCTGCTAATTGCCCCACAAATTCTGGAACAAACTATTCATCATATTGCCTCAATTTTATCTAACAAGTATCCAAACTTTCGATTGCTTCAAACCAACCCGACATATTACTATTCTCAAGCAAAATTCATCTTTGCCCGTACGAAGGCCCACGTCTATGTTTCTGTTAAGTTTCCCTTATCATCCTTGCCTAAACCTTTCCAAATGTATAAGGTTATTTCTCTCCCAGTGCCTGTGAACAATACATCATCCCACTCGACTCAACTCCTTGATATTCCTCCTTACTTTGCCCTGTCCTTGGATTCCCGTCATTTCCTCAGTATGGACAGCTCTACCTTAGCGCCCTGCTCTGGTGATGAATTCGTCATAAACTGTGCTATCAGAATAGCTCTACAATCCTCCCCCAAACCATCATGTAGCCTTGCACTCTTTCAAAATAGTAAGAGTCTGATCAAATCTCTTTGTGATTTTCGATATGTCACCAAACCTCAGCCACCTCAGCTTATCTTTGTTGATACCTCAAATGTTCTCGTTTATAGAATTCCCTTTCTTACTCTCACCTGTCCTGGTACTCATCGTATGATCCCCGGTTGTAACTTCTGTCTTATTGCTACTTCATGTTACTGTTCTCTGTCCACCGAAGATCTGTATTATCCTGCACCCTTTGGTTCGTGTCGCACTTCACAACACCAGATCTCACACCTTCACCCTGTCAACCTTGCTCTTCTTCAACACTTCTTTGAGGATTCTACCCTCTCTAGTATTGCTGGTGATACAACTTTCAGAAAAGCAGTTAACTTCACCATTCCAAAATTTGATATATTTTCTCATGAAATTTCCAATATTTTGGCCAATGATCAAAAGTCCCATCTCAGTCTTAAACGTGTCGCTGAAAGGGCAAGAAAAGATCAAACCATATTTCAGTCTATTACGGAACGATTGCTTGATGGTCAAATCACTTTACCAAGTTCTTGGCCTGATACAAATGCAATTATAGCCATCACCGCTTCGGCTATGTCAGTTCTTTCAATTATTTTAGTTGTTTGGATGTTTTTCAAAGTTTGTGCACTCTCTGGTGCACTATTGCTGGTTACTCGTGTGGCGCCAGCTAAAGCAGTACAGCCGCCAGTACTAAATTATAATTCACAAACCACTTCTAGTCCCAGCTTCGTTGTGTCTGATCTTGCTGACTATCATGTGTCAATCCTTCTAGGAGTGATCACACTTGCTGTGGCATCTATTCTTCTCCTTCTCATCTATGAACGCAATCTTAGGACGCACAATGGCCTCGTTCTTGAACTCACCACTGGTCCAGAGTGTGTCTCTGTTCCTATTCTGGCTCTCAGTCTCTGTCCTTCCTACTGGGATATTCAACCCCCTTGCACAGTGGAACAGCTCCGAATCTCTGGATATTTCTTTCCCACCCTTACTGTTGAATGGCCCGCCTTTACTGTGACTAATCTCCTAACCAAAACGTCTCTCTCAGTACCGAACACGCTTCGAGTCTCTTTCTTTACTGCCCGTAAACTCCAGAAAATGTTCAATCAACCTTTCGCTGCCTACATTCTTATGGTTCATGATGGTAGATACCAAATTTTAGATCCTTCTTGTATGTTAAAGGTATTTTAAGTGGGCTGTCTAAGCAGTGCATATCCTTTGTCGTGTTCGCATATTTTTGCTGTGTTACTTTAAAATGTTTTATGTATTTTTGTGTACAATTTATGTTTACGTCAACACCTGTATAACGACAATATTAATAGGCTTTTGCGGTCAAAAGCTCCACGACGTCCAGGGGTACTATAACAGGGCGAAAATCATCATATTTTTCTTCAAGTTTTATCAAAATCAAATATATTCTTCTACTTTAAGTTTCACATTCCCAAGCCAGTAAACGCTACATAGTTTACAGGACGCCTATCATAATACGTAACGCTTGGAGATGCAAGCTGTCGAAACCAGTCAAACGAGCTGGCAGATGCTAATCAGCTAGCGCTATAGAAATTCTAGATCCGGCTGACCAGATTCAGACACAGCTGACCAGCCAATAAACAATTAACTAAGTAAGTCACCACATCAAAACTTGCATAATTTGACCACCATGTGGGAAACCATTGTTATCAATCCCAAACTGGACAGATGGGTAGTGACATGCTTTCAAACGTGGACTGGAGGTCTCGGGTATAAATGCAGGGGTATCTTGGCATAGAGTCATTCCTGCATTTCGCCTGTAAACCTCTCTGTCTGTTTTTGAAGGTAAGTTACTTTTACTTATTACTTTGCCATTTTTGTTAAACGTGCTGTAAATAATTCTAACTTTGTTACTCTGCTGGTACAATGAACTTATGTTACAGTTAATTAAAAAGTATTGTTCAAAATCTACGATTTGGCTGCTATATGTTAATTTCATACAGTTCATCTAGAAACCAAATACTATACTGAATAATAGAGAATAATAGAGCGTCCCGGATAAAATACGAGCATTAGTATTCTAGTCGTTTAAATATCAATCTAACATATTACGCCATTTTAGTTATGGAAGTCGTGGATGCTTATTAAACAATATGTTCAACGTGTATAACGTTTCTGTATCAAGTGACTTGGTGGTCAACGTGTTCTATTATCTGCATTTATATTTCTGGTCATGTTATTCGTCTCACTGTTTGTATTTTCACGGGAAACATTTCTTGTTTCAATATAATGAGTAGCATAGCATCGGCAGCTAAATGTATGTATTTAAAGATAACCAGTCTGTGACCGTATATGTCTAGAAAACAATACACGAAAAGTAACACTGTTTCCGTAGCTAAATACGCACAGATTCGGCAATGTCTTTTGACTATTTATCACATAAGTGCATCCGCACTATGGTGAAGCGCCGGTTGATTTTGTGTTTCATGTCGTAGAATAGTCTATAAAGATACAGACAATTCAGTGGCAGTCTAGTAGATAAGAGTTACAATACAATATCCAGCATTTCTTATATAAACTGTTTCTCATGTTATAAGTTATTTACTTATAATTGGTAAACGTCAGAAGATTTTGATTAGTGTTAAAATGTTTAATCATCATTATCTTGAAGTAAGTGTCGGCAGTTACCTATGCTGTAATGATGTAACTCATTATCATTCTTAATTATTGATTTCAATATCTTAATGCTGTACTATTTAATTACTTATTATGATGTCTAAGCTATGAAATATAATACTGAATTGTTTTGAATGTATGTTGTTGCATGGTGACGTCACATATAATAAAGATTCCTGCATTTCGCCTGAAAACCTCTCTGTCTGTTTTTGAAGGCGTGGAGATCCCGGAGTTAATTCCCCGTAACAATTCTAGGTATAAACGGTCCCCTAAAAAGGACGGTTTCAGTATAATAGGATAGTGCATTTCTGACACTCATGATGGATCTAGAAATATCTAAGCAACGACACAAGGGCCTGTGTTCTGATTCAGTAGTTGCTCAGATAAGTAAATATTGACTAGTGACCTTGGCAAAGAAGATGAGATGTTCCTCCACTGTGAGACTGTCAAATAGGATGTCGTGTTGAGGACAGAGACCGAGGCTGCTTCTCACGCTGACAATGTCCTCTCGGATGTCGTAGCCGTTGACCCTGGCAGTGCCCCCTGTTGGAGGGATGAACCCTGCGGGGACAGAATGTTGTTACATTAAGATACTGTATTAGACACAGAGCTGTACATTTATAATGATAGCTTTTTTGCTGTCGGAGGGTTGGAGATAGCTCATCACAGAGAGTGTTTGCTTGTAATTTTAAGTTTGTTTGTTTGTTGTTTAATGCCACACTCAGCATATTGCAGCTTTATGATGGCGGTCTGATAAATAAATGAGTCTGGACCAGACAATCCAGTGATTGATGTCATGAGCATGGATCCACACAGTTGGGATACGATGACATGCATCAACCAAGTCAGTGAGTCCGACCACCCGATTCCCTTAGTTGCCTCTTACAACAAGCATAGTCGCCTTTTATGGCAAGCATGGGTTGCTGGAGACCTGTTCTACCCCAGATCTTCACGGGTTATAATTTAAAGACACAGGTTTGATTCCAAACATTGGTACACATCATGTCCTCAATAACACCTACAGATTTAAACATAATATATGTTCTACCAGATTAGCTGGAAGAAAGAATGTTATAAATGAGCACATTATGAAAAAAACCATTCTGACGATATGCAATTTGAGTATTTACTGTACAAATCTGTTAAAGTAAAAAATATATATAATGTATTACTGAGGGAGTAATTTGGGTTTCACATTGCCCTGAGCAATAGTTCATTATATCAACTTAATGTGAGAGTAAAGCCCAAAGTGACCGGTCCTACACGTTTACTACACTGACAAACCAAGGATCATTATTCAAAGCCATAGTCAATTGATCCTGCATGACAAAGGGACATAACTCAGTGAATAGCAGCCTCATAAACCACAGGATGAGCTGTGACCCCTATAAAGGGTTGTGGCTATCCACAAATGTGAAGGCAGAAAACATCTGACCTGTCAGCATGGACATGGTGGTGGTCTTCCCAGCGCCGTTGTGACCGAGGAGTGCAGTTATCTGCCCTTCATACATGGCAAGGGTCATCCCAGACACAGCCTTCTTACAAGCTTCCCCCGTGCCGAACTCCTGCCATACAAACACAGGGTGGTTAAATCATGAAGTGAAGTGAAGTGGGGTGGGGTGAAGTGGAGGTGAAGTGAAGTGGGGGTGAGGTGGGAGTGAGGTGAGGTGGTTGAGATGAGCTGAGTCTAAATGAAGTGAGTCAAGGTGAGGTGAGGTGAGGTGAGGTGGGTGTGAGGTGAGGTGAGTCGAGGTGAGGTTAGGTGAGGTGAGGTAATGCGGGGTGAGGTGAGGTGACGTGGGATGAGGTAAAATGGGGTGAGGTGATGTGAAGTGAGGTGAGGTTAGGTGAGATGGGGTTTAACATCAAGATTATTTCACTTTTATAGCAACATCCATGCATGTGTGTGTGTGTGTGGCTGCTTGTCCCAAGTGCAATTTACATAGTGCTTGGCAGAGCTACAGATATCCTGCATATTTGCGTAAAATACCCCCTAAAATTATTCAAAACCCATTTACTATCAATTAACTTGTGTACAGAAACGCATGCATTAAATGGAAAACTCAACTGTTTTAAAACAGCACAGGTAAATACCCAATGATGCTTTTTCAACATGCGTACAACGGAGCTAATGTCCGAAACAAAATTACGAGCTAATTTACTTTCCGAGACAAGCATATATTTAGAACCATTATATCCACTACACCACAGAAGCCATTGTCAAAACATGAGGAAATTTGGAGAGGAGAGGAAATGAGGAGAGATTTCAACCATACAATTTTATCTTTAAGTGGCATTTTAGAAGCTGTAATACCACTGAAGAAAGAGCTGAAATCCATTAGTGAACCCTGTCTCCATAAATACAATTTTCGGAGCGGTAGGGTAGCCTAGTGGTTAAAGCATTTGCTCATCATGTCGAAGACCCGGGTTCTCTCACACATACAATTTTCCTATACTGTTGGAAAGAAATAAGGGAACAGGTGTAAAGTGAAGCATGTATGATATACAATCTCATTTATACCACCTTAGTGACAAGCTCCCTGGTCATGATATTTAGGTAGTTCATAGTGCGCTATATTTCCAGAATTTTCCTCACCACACAAGTTACAGGACTGGCTATCATGGTTTTCTCTGAAATCCCTTATCAACCAGAACTGCAGAGTTTATGGGAATAGTGCTGGAAGAGATCTTTTTTAAGCTCAGACTTTTAAGAGTACTTTTTAAGCACAGGCACTGACTTCAGTGTGAAAGGGACGGGTTCCACAAAGAAGTGACAACGACAATGAAAGATCTGGATCTGAAGGTATTTTACTCTGATTTTGAAACCTGCAGCGGAAATTATTGATTTGACCGAAGTGCTCTAGCTGGGTTATAGTGCATTGTGATATCTTTGAGCTATGAGGGATGACTAACGTTACATTCTGTATCCTGTCTTGATGGAATACAAAAAAGCATTAAGCAGGTCTGATCAGGATAATTTTTTGCTACCTTTCTGTGTTCCCTTAATACTTCCATCTTTGTTTTAACTATAGAGGAGTTGTCCATCTTTCTTACCCTCCCAAGGTTCATACGAAACTTGAGCCCCCAAACTTAAGGCTTTTTCAAGGGAAACAGACTTATTTGGACAATCGAACTTAATTGTCAGATTGACTGGTATTTGTACATACATCCAAGTCCACCGACCAGAACGTTAACTAGGGTTGGGACGAGTCCAAATTTATTACCAGGGTACCCACCCCCCTTTTACCCGACCCTACCCAGGAACCTGCTGTAGGTCTCAAGAGATAGGTACAAAATGTCCGATTGGGAAACGTTTGACCATACTCCTGTCAAGATATTTAGATACAGGTATAAAAAAAACTGATCATGCATACACTGAAGTTGACAGAAGTATTATCTTCAGAAGGAGTGGGTGCATGGTCAGAAAGAAATGTGAACATTAGAGACTTGTAGTGTAAACATGGAGTTCTGGATATTTTTTGTCAGCAAACAATATTCCACATGACTAACCACAGGTCCAGGTAGTCCTGTGGGTACCTGGGTCCTTCTCAGTACCCAGTACCCAGCTCTAACGTCAATATTAATTATCCATTACGTTTTGGGCTAATTTTCAGCTTCATCATGCAATGATAGTAAACAAATGGAATAAAGTCATGTAGCATCAGAGTTAAAAACGGTTTCCACATTCAAGGCATGTTATCAATTTTCAGGCCTTTTCCAAGACCAGACTGCTAAATTCGCCTTTGACACCCGTGCGGAACATCTCGTAAATCCAACCCAGGCCAGGGCCTGTTGTGATACATGACACCTCCCTGAAGTGCTGTAGCTCACCTTGCTCAGGTTTCTTATGCTGATTCCAGGCCTCATGCCGACTGGGTCCTTCTCAAAGTATTCATCTTCTTGTTCGGTATTCAAGTCTTTGCTGTCATCAACATCATCTCGCTGTTTTGTACCACACCAGTGTGACCGCTGGAGAAGGATATACGATCATATTGTTAGATGGGTGTATGACCGCTGGAGAAGGATATGGGAACATATTGTTAGATCAGTGTATGACTGCTGGAGAAGGATATGGGAACATACTGTTAGATGGGTGTATGACTGCTGGAGAAGGATATGGGAACATATTGTTAGATGGGTGTATGACCGCTGGAGAAGGATATGGAAACATACAGTTAGATCGGTGTATGACTGCTGGAGAAGGATATGGGAACATATTGTTAGATGGGTGTATGACTGCTGGAGAAGGATATGGGAACATACTGTTAGATTGGTGGATGACCGCTGGTGAAGGATATGGGAACATATTGTTAGATGGGTGTATGACCGCTGGAGAAGGATATGGGAACATATTGTTAGATCGGTGTATGACTGCTGGAGAAGGATATGGGAACATATTGTTAGATTGGTGGATGACCGCTGGAGAAGGATATGGAAACATACAGTTAGATCGGTGTATGACTGCTGGAGAAGGATATGGGAACATATTGTTAGATGGGTGTATGACCGCTGGAGAAGGATATGGGAACATACTGTTAGATTGGTGGATGACCGCTGGAGAAGGATATGGGAACATATTGTTAGATGGGTGTATGACCGCTGGAGAAGGATATGGGAACATATTGTTAGATCGGTGTATGACCGCTGGAGAAGGATATGGGAACATATTATTAGATCGGTGTATGACTGCTGGAGAAGGATATGGGAACATATTGTTAGATTGGTGGATGACCGCTGGAGAAGGATATGGGAATATACTGTTAGATCGGTGTATGACTGCTGGAGAAGGATATGGGAACATATTGTTAGATGGGTGTATGACTGCTGGAGAAGGATATGGGAACATACTGTTAGATTGGTGGATGACCGCTGGTGAAGGATATGGGAACATATTGTTAGATGGGTGTATGACCGCTGGAGAAGGATATGGGAACATATTGTTAGATCGGTGTATGACCGCTGGAGAAGGATATGGGAACATATTATTAGATCGGTGTATGACTGCTGGAGAAGGATATGGGAACATATTGTTAGATTGGTGGATGACCGCTGGAGAAGGATATGGGAATATACTGTTAGATCGGTGTATGACTGCTGGAGAAGGATATGGGAACATATTGTTAGATGGGTGTATGACTGCTGGAGAAGGATATGGGAACATACTGTTAGATTGGTGGATGACCGCTGGTGAAGGATATGGGAACATATTGTTAGATGGGTGTATGACCGCTGGAGAAGGATATGGGAACATATTGTTAGATCGGTGTATGACTGCTGGAGAAGGATATGGGAACATATTGTTAGATTGGTGGATGACCGCTGGAGAAGGATATGGAAACATACAGTTAGATCGGTGTATGACTGCTGGAGAAGGATATGGGAACATATTGTTAGATGGGTGTATGACCGCTGGAGAAGGATATGGGAACATACTGTTAGATTGGTGGATGACCGCTGGAGAAGGATATGGGAACATATTGTTAGATGGGTGTATGACCGCTGGAGAAGGATATGGGAACATATTGTTAGATCGGTGTATGACCGCTGGAGAAGGATATGGGAACATATTATTAGATCGGTGTATGACTGCTGGAGAAGGATATGGGAACATATTGTTAGATTGGTGGATGACCGCTGGAGAAGGATATGGGAATATACTGTTAGATCGGTGTATGACTGCTGGAGAAGGATACTGGAACATATTGTTAGATCGGTGTATGACCGCTGGAGAAGGATATGGAAACATATTGTTAGATTGGTGGATGACCGCTGGAGAAGGATATGGGAACATACTGTTGGATCGGTGTATGACCCAAATGATACAATGATGATATCTTGAGTATGTTGTGTCAAGGTGCTTTATTCAGTTATATATTTAACAACAATACACTACATGCACACACAGCAACACTCTCAACGTATAACGTCTAACCGTCATTCCCCCTGCAACCTACCTCCCTTACATTAAATATACTATCACATAGAACATTGCTTATCAGTTACATGTTACACTGGCAACATCCAATGTGATCTCTCACTGGGCGCCGCCATCTTGAATGGAGTCCCGCTCTCACGAGATCGCGTTATATTTATGAACTCACTTTTAACATTTAACAACACTATTAATCTATTTAAGAAAACACTTTAAAAAATTATACAGTTGTAGATTACATAATAAAATAATATAAGTTGTAGCAGGTTCCGGTTTGTGGTATAAAACATAATACAGGACACATAAAACCCTATGTAACCCCCTGATCCTGCTACAATGAATATATCTGACATGTTTTAATATGACATTGAAAAAGAATTAAAACAAATTCAAAATTGATAGAAAACAGCTGTTCGATTGAGCTCAGGTTAACTTGTGCTATGTCACGTGCAAAAGCAAGCGGTTTTTTGCTTGGAAGCGAGGTAGAAGTGATTTATTCAGCCTCTCAGAAATCTATGTGCAGCCTGTCTTGCTTGTGGCAGGGTATAAGAGATTTATTCCCCCTCTGAGAAATTTATTACCCTCCAAGGTGGGTTACACAGTATTTTATCAAGATCACATGGACCAATCAGATCCCATCATTCTGACATGGAGGTATGATAATAACATTTATAAACCTATTCATTGGGATCGCTATTAAGTAAGAGACTTCTTTCTATAGGCATTAAAACCTATTGTGAGGTTTTACTTTCCAGTCGGGTTAAATCTCATAAACAGGGACGTTGTAATGTCCCAGGGATTTTATTAATATAACTTCCGTTCAGATTGTAACATGTAATGAAATGTAAAATCAAATGACAAATGTTTTCTTTATATTCCGGAGGATCGAACTCGCAACTTTCATATCTGTAGCCCAGTGAGTGTACCACGAGGCTACAGAGGTGTTGATAAGCCTGACTGGTTTTTAGAATGTCCTTGCAAGATCCGTACGCCAGCAACAGATATTTTACGCGCGTTTCCTAAGGTTCATGGAAAGTATGTTCGAAACATAAAAATTATGATAAATGTCTTTTTAAGTTTCTTTTTTCGGTTTATAATCATGGAAAAACACTTTCCCTCGGTTTCGGTAGACAGAGCATGCCCTGGGGGTCGGGAAAAACCGCGGGGGCTTCGCCCCCTTGGTTTTTCCCTCTCCCCAAGGCATGCTCTGTCTACCAAAACCTCGTGAGCGTGTTTTCTCCAATACATAACAAACAGCAGGATGACAGTCTGCTTTATTCCCTGTTCCTGACAGTAGCCTTATTCCCTGTTCCTGACACCAGCCTTGTTCAATGTTACCAGCTGATATAGTCTTATATGTGGATGAATGGTGCAAGGAAATATGCTAGATTCAACAAATTTACTAATATAAAAGAAACAAAGCTAGAAAACCAAATTTTCCAGGCTCAAAATATTACCTACGTACATTTGTTGCAGAATCTTGAGCTGAATATGAGTAGGTTTTAAAGTATGGGAGTTGAATAATAGTGGGGCTCTGATGACCATGGCTCTTTATTAAGTACTAAGTGATACAAAACGAAATCTGTAAGAACTCGTATAACAGATAGTAGCCATGTAATCACAAGATGCAGTGCTAACACTTGTTGGTTGGTTTGTTGTTTAACGCCGCACTCAGCAATATTCCAGCTATATGACGGTGGTCTGTAAATAATCGAGTAAGGACCAGACAGTCGTGTGTTTGATATCATGAGCATCGATCAAACACAATTGGGATCAATGACATGCATCAACCAAGTCAGCGAGCCTGACCACCTGATCCCGTTAGTCGCCTCTTCCAACAAGCATATTCGCCTTTTACGGCAAGCATTGGTTGCTGTAGACCCATTCTACCCCGGATCTTCACGGGTCACTAACACATGTACCCCTGGTCAAAGTCTGTAAAGATCACCTACCGTCAGGAAAAAGTACCACTTCTGAGGGACTCCAAATTCTCCAGGGAAGACGGCTTCCACGTACCAGGCAATGGCACAGTAGAGAACAGAGTCGAACAACATCATGAGGAGAATGTGGAGCAGGGCGAAGTTGTCATCTACGGACACACCCTGGTCCAGGTTGCTCCACTGGACTCCCGACCCTGCCATCAAACATTTACGGGTGACTACAGTAAACTACGTTTATAACGAACTCGCTTATAATGAACTGACGGATATAACCAACTTATTTTTAGTCCCGACCATTTGTTGTGTATATGCTGTATGTATGCATATAACGAACTACAGTTATTACGAACTAAAATTAGTGGTCCCCTCGAGTTCATTATAACCGTAGTCTACTGTACCACTAACAGTATTTCAGTCAATCAACCTCATTTCATGAGTTCATGTCTATGATTTTAATTTCATTGACCAACGTATCAAAAGCATGAGCCTTATTTGTTATCATACCCATACAGGGACAGACACAGTATTAAGATGTTTTTACATCGTAGGTGCCTTACAGAGAAGTCCTGGAGCAAATGTGTTCTGTAATTTCATTGGTAAACAAAATATGCTAGGTTCAGCATTTACATCAACAATGACTGCAGTAAACGTTTCTGCGAGAGACACCCTAAGTTAAATCCAACTAGGCATAATTCAAACGAGTGGTTTATCATCTAGTTACACTCGCCTCTTATTCAATTAAACAGATTGGTGGTGATGTCTAACTCTGCATACATAATTGGTCTAAATAAATATTCTGACAAACATAATTTGTCTAATAAAAATATTCTGATAAACATAATTTGTCTAATAAAAATATTGTTCGTAAAGTTTGTAAACCATAAAAGTTCTTCTAATCTACATCACCAAAGATGCAAAGACAAAGTAGATGACACTGACCTATGCCTTCAAACATGCCGATGACCTGACCGCCAAATGCCATGGCGACTTGGAAGTCAATACAGGCGGCCATCTTCTCCCCCCAAGTCATGGTATCGTACCGGTTCTGGATGAAGAAGTATGGGATGTAGGAGCAGATGAACAGGATCCCTCCTGCCGCTTCTGCAGAGTTGGCTGGAACAAGGAACAAGGTCATTGTCAGGGACATGGAACAAGGTCATTGTCAGGAACAGGGAACAAGGCTGCTGTCAGGAACAGGGGACAAGGCTACTGTCAGGAACAGGGGACAAGGCTGCTGTCAGGAACAGGGGACAAGGCTGCTGTCAGGAACAGGGGACAAGGCTACTGTCAGGAACAGGGAACAAGGTTACTGTTTGGAACAAAGAACAAGCTACTGTCAGGAACATGGAACAAGGCTTCTGTTAAGAAAAGGGGACAAGGCTACTGTCAGGAACATGGAACAAGGCTTCTGTTAAGAAAAGGGGACAAGGCTACTGTCAGGAACAGGGAACAAGGTTACTGTTTGGAACAGGGGACAAGGCTACTGTCTGGAACAGGGAACAAGGTTACTGTTTGGAACAGGGGACAAGGCTACTGTCAGGAACAGGGAACAAGATTACTGTTTGGAACAGGGGACAAGACTACTGTCAGGAACGGGTAACCGGACCAACCTTCTGCTCTCCAGGCAGAAACTCTATCCACTAATTACAAACACCATGACTGTTATCATTAATTCCAAGATTCAGCTTAATATGCCTTGTGGTTTCAGAGGATTTGTTGAAAAAGCAGTGAAACTAGAAAAACAAAGGTACATGAAGATAGAGGTCATATCTGGGTTAAAAATGAAACTCTGTAAATGTATGTAATATCACCTTTCTTTAAGAACACACTGACGGCAAAGCAGAAGCAGATGGCTGAGATGCAGTAGATGATGAGGAAGAGGAAGAGGATGAACGGGTCCGTGTTGCCGATGACGTTCTCATGCTTGGGTCCGACACGGACGGAGAAGAAGATGGTCATCAGTATGATGGAGGTGAGGGAGAAGAGGAGGTACTTGATGAACCACGCCATCCAGTGCAGCCAGTTGCTCAGTCCCATCATCTTCATGGACTCCTGCATATAGAACAGCAGCAAGTTAGAGGGTGGTCTGAACAGGTGTAACACAGGAGTCTGAACAGGTCTGGATGGTCTGAACAGGTGATACACAGTAGTATGAACAACTGAACAGGTTGAACAAAGTAGTCTGGATGGTCTGAACAGGTGTTACAGTCTGAATATGTCTGACAATAAGATGTACATGTGTTAACTAGTAGTCTGAACAGGCCTTACAAAGTAGTCTGGCTGGTCTGAACAGGCCTTACAAAGTAGTCTGACTGGTCTGAACAGGTGTTACACAAGAGTCTGAACAGGTCTGGATGGTCTGAACAGGTGTTACAAAGTAGTCTGGTTGGTCTGAACAGGTGTTGCCCAGTTGTCTCAACAGGTCTTACAAAGTAGTCTGGATGGTCTGAACAGGTCTTACAATGTAGTCTGGCTGGTCTGAACAGGTCTTACAAAGTAGTCTGGATGGTCTGAACAGGTGTTACACAAGAGTCTGAACAGGTCTGGATGGTCTGAACAGGTGTTACAAAGTAGTCTTGATGGTCTGAACAGGTGTTACACAAGAGTCTGAACAGGTCTGGATGGTCTGAACAGGTGTTACAAAGTAGTCTTGATGGTCTGAACAGGTGTTACAGTCTGAACATGTCTAATAATAATCTGAACAGGTGTTACACAGTAGTCTGACCATGTCTGGGACAGTCATCTGAACAGGTCTTACAAAGTAGTCTGACTGGTCTGAACAGGTGTTACACAAGAGTCTGAACAGGTCTGGATGGTCTGAACAGGTGTTACAAAGTTGTCTGGTTGGTCTGAACAGGTGTTGCCCAGTTGTCTCAACAGGTCTTACAAAGTAGTCTGGATGGTCTGAACAGGTCTTACAATGTAGTCTGGCTGGTCTGAACAGGTCTTACAAAGTAGTCTGGATGGTCTGAACAGGTGTTACACAAGAGTCTGAACAGGTCTGGATGGTCTGAACAGGTGTTACAAAGTAGTCTTGATGGTCTGAACAGGTGTTACAGTCTGAACATGTCTAATAATAATCTGAACAGGTGTTACACAGTAGTCTGACCATGTCTGGGACAGTCATCTGAACAGGTCTTACACAGCAGTCTGAACCACTTGCATAGGCATAATACAATAACCTGTACCTTTCCCAAAAAACAGCCCTAACCCTAAGACAGACAAAAATGTTCCATAGTGAAGATGGAGAACTGTTAAAAATTCTAAACACAACTTGTATCTCATAAACTGCATCCTGCAGAAATCTGTTGCCTCAAACATAACATGTTCCGTTAGGTCTTAGTCTACAAATACATATGGACTTTGCCTTGAGCTTTCTCTCCTTCTCATGTACGACGTCCTTGACGATGCTGAGAGCAGTGATGATGAAGCTCAACATCAGGACCAGCGGGAACTGTTTCTGTATCACCAGCACGAACGGGTCGTCATTGTACGGTGGGTAGGGGTGACGGCGCACACTCATTTTTGTCTTGTTGATTAGGTCTGAGGCTTCATCGGGAGCCAGTTCCTCAAATACAGCATAGCTAATGGCATTCTGCAGAGTCAGGAATCCCTCTCTTTGGTAACCTGGGCAAAGAATAGAAATGGGTTTTTCGTATCTTTCCCCTTTTTTATGTGGTCATGGTTTTCAAACAAATAATATCAGAGCTAGATTCTAATCATGTTCATCCAAATCATTTAACTGTTACTGTTTACTACTGGGCGATTTATTTCAATGATTGTCCATATTTTCTGCCATTTGCGTAAATTTGTGGCGCTTTACAATAGATAAACTAGTTATTATTATCATTTGAAAGCATGTCTTTACTGACATACTGCAAATGTATTTGAAAAGCAACAACCTAAAAAACAAACTACCTACACTAATTATGGATTAGCTGAAATAGGAAACATATTTTGTTACGGCGTGTAGGGGCCCTACCTGGCATGCCTCCACAAGAATGATTCTTTTCCCGCGGCCCTACTTTCTGGAACTGGGGATAGTTGGCCCGAGTCATCCATCGCGTGTAAGTATTGAAGGGGTTCAGAGAGGACATCTGTTTCCCAGCATTCCTTGGGGAGGAACTGAGGCGAATTGTATACTCTATCTTGTGCGGGAGCTTGTCAACCCCGGAGTTTTTGTTGAAGCCGCTGAACACAATACCGCCAAGGTAATCTCGTGTGTTGTTGACTGTCCCATTGGCAAACATTAGGTAGGTGACCATATCACTTTCAGTAGCAAAGGAAGCGTCTGAAACAGCAAGCAGTTAAATGATATTTCGAACTTCTTTGGAATTGAAAAAGGGACTACAAATCCAGGTGAACATGAGGACAAGGTCATTGATATCCCCCGCAATGCCAAATACTTGTTGTGGATAAACATACGAAACTAACTGCCATAAAACTAGAAAAGTATTTGTTTAAAAAATCCCAAACTATCAAAAGGCATTAGTTCATCACTAGACCTGTCTAAGTGCCAATTTGATAAAGAAATATCTACTGTTCAAAATCTGCTGCGGAAACAATCACAACACCCATTTTCAGTCAAAGTTGTCGCTATGGAAACTAAAAAAAATGTTTAAATCTCAAACTATCAAAAAGCACCAGTTCACCACATGACCTTGTTGTGGATAAACATATGAAACTAACTGCCATAAAACTAGAAAAATATTTGTTTAAAAAGGCACCAGTTGACCACTAGACCTGTCTATGTGCCAAATTTGTCAAAGTAATATTGTACGGTTTTCAAGATCTGCTCCGGAACTGAGCACTACCGCCATTTTCAGTCAACGTCAAAGTTGCTGCCAGGGAAACTAAACTTCAAACTAAAGTTAATTTTTAAGAAATCCCAAACTATCAAAAGGCACTCTATATACCAAGTTTGGTGAAGAAATAATCTACGGTTTTCAAAATCTAGTCAGGAAACGACATCTTGCACATACGAACAATGTCCATTTTAATACCACCCTGGGAAACACTTTGAGGGGGATAAGAAATTACAGATTTTAAGAATATCATATAAATATTTTCATAACTGATGAATTCGGGGTAATAAAAAAATAACGAGTAGATGCTTGGATTGGCCAAACAAAAACCTGATAACCTTGGTCAGTTGACAGGAACTGAGGCTAAGCTGTTAAAACTGCATGTTAAATCAACACGCTGGTAAAAATGACTACTGAGGGTTAAACATGTCTGAAACAGTCATCAGTCTTTATTCAGAACAAGCTTAACCATGGGAACACTGAAACCTGAAATCAGTACTGAATTATTCACACAATGATTTAGATTAATTACAAGGATTGGGACATGTCTGTAGCAAAGAGAAAGGGCAGTATTTAACCACTGTTTATTGTTTATGTCTGAAGAATCAACTTAAGATGTGTCAATATATATAATGACCATGATTATATATATAATCAATCTCACCATCCAAGTCTTGATGTGGAGCTCGGTATTTTGGCACACAGCACCAAACAATCTCAGCATTTTGTCTGTCATGGCATAACTACATTGGGTGTATTTGTGGCCTGTAAATAACTGCGATTGGTCCAGACAATCCAGTGAATAATATTGTGATCCGGTTGGTAAACAACTTCGATATCAACGTGGAGATTTCAGTCGATTGAAGGATTTGCAAAGCATGTGTTCCGCCAACTGTGCATCGACAGATATTTCGCAAATATTTTCATATTTTTAATGAAGGTGTTCAAGTGATTTGATGCACTTCGCAAAGTAAGGCCTGTTTTATTACAAAATAGATCTTGATTATCGATCAGATCAGCTTGATCGGGCGCCGTCATTTTGTTTGAAGCATTTGCAAGTGATATGTAAGGTGGAATCTGAAAGGTCAGTAAGGAGGGACGTAGAAGGGACATAACTCTTGATAGCCACTGATGGCGCTACAATCAAGCCTAGAAATTCCAGCCTAGTTCAGCAAGGGTGGACACCGGACTTTTATAGTCAGTTAACTCCCTTGCCTCGGGAAGATGCCAATGCAAGGATAACCAGAAGATACCAACCTGCATTAACTCCAATTCTCTGTTCCACTGACTTCATGA